TAATCATAGCTAAAAGTTAAAGTGAAGTAAATATTGAAAATCAGGGGTATTTCTTTTAATGTATGACATTGTCCATGGAAGACATGGTTTTAATGAAAAAGTTTTAATTAGAAATCTGTTATAACTATAATAAATAACACTGGATTCATCTTATAATGTTGATGCTGCATATCAACTTTTAGTATTTTAAAATAATACTAAAAATATTCTGTTAAACAGAGAAATTAGGAGCTTCATGCTATTTTGATAATTAGCTACACGATCTTCATCTTTGCCCAAATTAAACATCACACAACTGTCTTTTAAATCCTGACTTATTTTTTTAAAAAACTCACTAAATGTAAATATTCTAGAGGGGAAAAAAAGGATAATTCTGTTCACCTAACAGTTCCTATTGAAACAATAATACTTTACCACAATAATATTTATATACCGCAGAAGACAACATACTGAAGTAAGAGAATGTATAAAAAAAGAGAACACGTGCCTCTTCAAGATGTCGGGTTTTAGTAGACTTGAAATTTCTTTCTTTTTATATGTAGATTTCTTTATTTCAAATTGAGAGTTCTAATTAAAGAATCACTTGTCAACAGGCATTCTGTGCATCTTATCACATGCAAATTTATAGACTAGTATTGTTGAGCGTGTGGGGCTTCCAGAAATGTAGTTTGGGTTTGGTTAATAGAGATGCAGACTAAATATATTTAAGTATACCGTAGAATATATCGCAGAGTAGGCTCAGAATCTGTTCTCAAAGACTGTACCAATAGCAAATGCAGCTGTGCCCTCACTCACAGGAGGCTTGGGTCATGAAGTTGACCCTAGCTCTGTAGTCTGCAGAGAGGCTTATCTTTTTTCAGTTTTGAATACTTGCTTTATCAACATTAGGAAATGATCTCTTCCATATTCAAGTGTTTATACTGCATAAGTAGGAAACTTTGTTATCAGATCAGTCAAGGGCTCTGAAAAAAATTCATTTCCCTTCGCTTTCTGCAGAGGATAAAAAGCAAGTTCCATTGTAGACGAAGGAAATCTGTATTTTTCACTTTAGCTTATTTGCTTATTGCCCTTTTGTCGTTTTTCTTAGAATTACCTTCATGAGTGAATTATAGCTATGGAAATAGCCCCTACTTCTGTCATTAAATATTCTTAGAAATCTTGCTAATGGTGGATTATTAAGCACATCCCACAGGAACTATACAGGTGGCTGGATACCTGACCAAAGCTATATTGGTATTTAATAAACCATAACTACGTCTGAAACTGTCATAATATGCAGTTATAACCTTTTGTAGTGATTCAAACTTTAGGGCAGTAAACTTTTAGAGCTAAAAGAAAACCACAGGGACCACTAGCCAAGTCTTTCATTTTCTGTGTGAAGAAACCCACCCAGAGCAGCCAGGCTAACCAGCAATCTATAACTTCAGCTAATTAACTGCGGAGCAAAGACCAGAACTTCTCTTTTCTGATTCCCAATGGAACATGTTCTCTTCTCAGAATACTTTCTTTAGAGAAATTCTGCTTAAAAAACATGAAAATATGGACATGTTAAGTATACCAAAAATTGTAAAGGACTATTAAACATAAAACTATAAATTATCATAAATTTAACCTAATATCAACATACTAACAAAATTGAATATGATTTAATTCCTTGCTTTTGTCATCAATCTATTCATTTATTTTGCATTCTGAAAATGGCTCAGATAAGCCTCTGCCTTTAGCTCAGGTCATGATCCCAGGTCCTGGGATCAAGCCCCATGTCGGGCTCCCTGCTCATTGGGGAGTCTACTTCTCCCTCTCCCTCCGCCCATCCTCCCCACTTGTGCTCTCTTTCTCTTTCTCAAATAAATAGATAAAATCCTTTTTAAAAAATTTAGATGGCTTAGGTCACTTTTCTTTAAGCTATGAGGAAATCTTGATGTGTTGCCTTTTATTCACTTATGATAGCGTAAATTTTCCAATGCATACCCTCATTACTTAGATTAGAATGTTTAAAAATAGCTATTGTTATAGCTAAGTAATTGAAGTCTTGAAGACTCTAAGTTTCAGGGAATTACAGCTTTGCTAATCAGTGTCTTCCACAAATCAACAGCGTCAGAATTATTGTAGAATTTGTTAAAAAGGCAGAACATCAGCTTCACCTTCCTGAGACCTAGAGGTGCTGAATCGGAGCCTGAGTGAATGAGATCCTGGATGGCTCAGATATGCTTTAGGATTTGAGAAGCACCACCGTGGCGTTAGTTATCACAGATCCCGTTTCTACTTGAGGTCATTTTCTTGTCTCTTTCTTCCTCACCTTTTGTGTGTGTGTGTGTGTGTCCTGCCCCCTACCCCCCAAAAAAGAAACATAAAAATATCAGTGTGTGCTTTAATAAGCAAAAAAGAAGTTCAGGTCAAAGTGTGTATAGAAGAGAAAAAAGGTGGGGCACCTGGGTGGTTCAGTGGGTTAAAGCCTCTGCCTCCGGTTCAGGTCGTGATCCCAGGGTCCTGGGATCGAGCCCCGCATCAGGCTCTCTGCTCAGCAGGGAGCCTGCTTCCTCCTCTCTCTCTCTCTCTACTTGTGATCTCTCTCTCTGTCAAATAAATAAATAAAATCTTAAAGAAAAAAAAAAGAAGGGAGAAAAGGTATACATCTACTCATTCTGAGACAAGTGTGGAGGACTAACTGACTGCTTATATTTCTATGTCTTTGGAATATTTTTAGCATCTATCAGATCAATGTGTTCCCCTCTTCTGTGTCCCCCCGGAGCCATCATTCCCAATGGGCTCTGCTCCCCAAACTGAGGCTGTGTAACTACATTGAGAAGTGAAATACAGAAGTTAATTACACAGTGTTGACTTTACAGAGGGTGAGCCACAAAGCATCAAAAGCAGGGACTGCCTGTTCCAGTTAAGGACAGAGAAGAGCAAAGGATATATTATTGGTTGTGTAATATGGGAACCACTGTGAATAACAGGCATTGTGAGGCAGATGAGAAAAATGGTTGTGATTAAAAGCAAAGTAAAATACCTAAGTCCAGGCCTCCATCTACAAAGATGATTCTAGTGAGTTTTTCTTCTACTGAGTGATGGATTGAATGGCTAGTGTAGTGATTAAGAGCTTAGACTCTGAGCTAAAACGTTCTTGGTTCAAATTCCAGCTCATCTACTTGGCTCTGTCACTGTGGGCAGGTTACTTAACCTCTAAACTCTTCGACTGAAAATTGAGAAAACAATAGTACCTTCCCAAATGGGTTATTGTAAACAGCAAACAGGAAAATATATGTACAAAATACTCGACATAGTGTCTGAAACATAGTAAGTACTCAGCATTAGAATGTATTTATTTTTTCATTTGCTTTCATTTATAAAGGTTCTTCTCATCAGTTTCCCTTGTGAACAGTAGCATTATTTTATGTGGATCTTCTGGGATTTGGCTGTGGTTTGTAGCTGGGACAAAGAGCTACAGCTCTTTTTTAAGGAAATTCTCTGGGCCGAAGAGTGAGTGTGTGCTGATCACCTCTGGTATAATGAGTGGTAGGCTGGGTCTGACGGTGGTGATAGTGGTGATAACAGTAGAGAGTATAATGAAAGAAAAAGAGAAATAGCATACTTTCCCTTGAAGCACTTAGATTCTGGGTGGAAAGAGATGAAATACCCATGTACATGGAAGAAAAACCCAGCAGATAGATTAAAAAAAAAAAAAACTAAGTATGTTCTTATGTTCAAAATTGCATGGTAGATACAAGGCTGTTTGGGGTGATTGGAAGGCAGCCATCAGCATCAGTCATTAACACCTGTCGGTTTCTTCAAGCGTTTTCTACAAAGAAGAAGGAGCAAAGGAAACTGTTGTATCTATTAGGGAAAACTATAGTGTGACAAGCATGGAAGATTTTCGTTTGAACAGATTTTTGAATCTTGATTTAGAAGTTGACTAAGCGCTGGAGGGCAGACCATGAGAAAATCTTGGTATTGATGCAGCTGAAATTGCTGCTGAACTCAATCTCATTGTGGTTATATGAACACAGGGGGCAGGCAAGAGTGCTTATCACAGAGTGCTCTATAATTTCACTGTTCTGCTTTAGGCTGAATACTTTGTAATGCTTTTGAAGGAATTCAGGTTTTGGAGGAAACAGAAAAGTAGAGGAAGTTTATAAGTGTTCAATAAAGGGGCCGTAAATTAGGTGTTGAGATGAAACATAGAGCTTGAAGGATTCTTCATCTCGAGGAACTCGGGAAGAAAGGTGGCTTAGAAATAGTTGTGTAGGGGCACCTGAGTGGCTCAGTCAGATTAGCGTCTGTGCTCCGGTCAGGTCATGATCTCAGGGTCGTGGGATCAAGCCCCAGGTCGGGCTCCCTGCTCATTGGGGAGTCTGCTTCTCCCTCCACCCTTCCCCCTGCTTATGTTCTCTCTCTCAAATAAATAAAATATTTTTTAAAGATACATTTAAAAAAAGGAAAGAAATAGTTGTGTAGAACCCAGAGTTGCTTGCTTGTTCCCTGTCCCCTGTGGTTCCTGCTGCTATCTACCTGTTCTGAGCAGTTTTAGAAAGTTGCCTCTGGCGGCAGGTCTGGAGGGAGTGGACGAGGAGGGAATAGATTTGGGCTGGGGAGAACAGGGAATGGGTAGAGTTGGTAGCTGGAAGATAGTCAGTGGCATTGTAGTAATATTTTGAGTAAATGAAAAGACGCTGAAGGAGCTCAAGGGCCAGTAGGGGGAGTAGAGATGGTTTTTAAAGGTTGCTTTGAAACAGTCCATCATGGATGTCTTTAAAATGGAAGGGGAGGGGGGACACTGTTCAGGAGTAAACACTCAGTACTGACTCAGGAGTAAACACTTAGCATTCTCTAATTCCAGAAACAAGTGAAAGTCAGTGTCTGTCAGTAGATGGGTTAAACATTGTGCGTAGGTCACTGAGAGTCTAGCTAATACTTTCAGTCTGGAATCCCCTTCAGATGTTTGGTGCACAGTCTCATGCTCTGTCTAATCTGACTTTCTTTGTGCTTCTTTCCCACAGCACGCATGTATCCCAAGTCAGCAATGTTTCAGCAACTGGAGAGTAAGTTATTTGGGTTTCCCTTTCCCACTTAGCAAACAGAAAAAAAGCTACTCTAAAGGTGTATAGTATTGGACAATTAATACCATAAGCAACCTATGATGATCTTTAAAACCACTGAGAGAAGAGGACTAAAGAAGGGTTCCTGTTTGAGCTTCTGTGTGGGTGTGTGACTAGAGACAGCCTAACAATTTGAACATACAAGATTTTTGTTTCAGTCAAAATAATGTCAGAGTCCATTAATGTTTACAAAATACATGTCTGGAGAGAGATCTTTCAGTGGAGGATGCCATTAAAGGTTAAAGTAGTACAGTGTCTTTACTTCTTCCTTATTTTTAATCAACCTACATTTGTTGAATAACTGTGATATGCCAAGGGTAGCGTTAGGTGTGTAACGTCAAGTAAGCCTCTGGCTCTGCCTTCAGGGACTTTACCATCTAAAAGGGACACAGAATCAAAAGCAAATCAGTGATGGCAACAAGTCCTTTTTCCACAGGGCAGGGACAGTGCCCTACTGATGATGCCCGTCACGTGTCTCTTTCTTCCTAAGGCTACCGGCTACACGTAGACTAAAACCTAAGCTCCAGTTACCTGCCCCTGCCTCCTTCTCTGACCACATTGCTCCTCAGGCTTCAGCCACATGACATTCTGTTTCTGGAATAGGCCAACCTTCTATTTGCCCCAGAGCTCTTGCACTGTTTCTCAGCCTGGCCATTCATTTTCTTATCATTTACTTTTTTGTTCAAATGTCCTCTCCTCCAAGAAGCCATCCCTGACTACCCACAGCCCTTCTCCAATTCCGTGCATCATTTTGGAGAGAATTTTTCACTATCTGAAAGTTCATGATTTGTTTATTACCTGTCTTGCCTCATAGCGATGTAAGCTCCATAAACATGGGGACCTTGTTTGTCATTTTCATGGCTGTATCCCTAACACCTAGGAAAGTGCCTGGTGTATATTAAGCACTAAATAAATGTTTGTGAATAGTTTCTTGCTCAAAGATATTCCATCACACCCACCTCTCTTTCTTCCTTGCTGAGATGTAAATGGACCTTTTTAGGGCATCTTCCATCAACAGGGATCAAGAGGAAGTGGAGAAAAGGTGTGATAATGTGGAAGAGAGAATAATTTAAAGAAGCACTAAGTAGGGTGAATTTGGATCTAATAGAATGAATTGGGAGTTTTTTTTTCTTCTTTGTTAGGCGAGGAAACAATGAGAGAGCGGGACCGACCTCTCTTAGCTCTGTGAATTTTAAAGAGATTCCAGAATTATACCGAGGCATATTATATATGTTCCTGCTTGTGTATTTCCTAATAGCTTTTACCTCTTATCTGTCTGTATAGTTTGGAAAAGGTGTGGGGATTGTTTGTATACGTTAATTCACTCACATTCCTATAGACCACTATTAGGGAATCTTGAATCATTGGGATGTGGAGTTCTAAATATTTAAAAAAACTCTCTTTTTTTAAAGATTCATTCATTCATTCATTTGTTGGAGGCAAAGGGGCAGAGGGAGAGGGAGAGAAAGTCTTAAGCAGACCCTGTGCTGAACTCAGAGCAGGACTTGGGGCTTGATCTCACAACCGTGATATCACAACGTGAGCCAAAACCAAGAAGAGTTGGGCACTCCACTGGCCATACCACCCAGGCACCCCTACATGTAAAAGTTGTAATGTCCAAGTTAGACTATATTTGTTCATTGTCTTCAAGTAGTTTTAATGAGATTACCATGTGTCTGTTATTATACTACATTTGGAAAATCTAAACTTCTTAAATTTTTTAAAACCCATCTGAACATTTTAAAAATAAATATGTGGTTCTTTTTAAAAATTTTAATACCTTTATTGAGGTCTAATTAATATGCAAAGAATTACACATACTTAATGTGTGTACACTTTGATGAGTTTGGATGTGATCCTTTTTTCAAGTGCAGAAAATTATGATTTGAGGAGAATATGTTTAGAATTTTCCCTGCCAGCTTATCCAAAATTAAATAGTGTGGTGATAAAAGAATGGAGGGCACATATTGCATGGAGCACTGAGTGTGGTGCATAAACAATGAATTTTGGAACACTAAAAAAAAAATAAAGTTAAATAAAATTTTTAAAAAAAGAAGGCTTAGACACATTAAAAGATTATAGAGCTTTAAAAAGGATACCTTATCTAACTCACCATGCACTCTTTTCAGCCCCTGTGCTTAAGTATTTCCTCATGTTAGATGAAGTAAATCTACCCTGCCATCTTCAGTAATACATATTAGTAGCACATGTTTGTATGAATACAGCTTTAATTATTTACATCATAGTTTAATTGCATGGAGGTTTAGAAAGATTTTCCTGTTCTAAGTAGTCATTGTTCTGGTGAGGTGTTCCGTTTTAATAGCATTATTGCCTGTATAATTTTATCTTAAAGGGATTCTAAATAGATAATAGGCATCATAAAATCATTTGTGCCAGTTTGCTTTGTAAACTATACTGTCTTCCTCTGCAGAGCTGGTATGAAATCTGACGGAACTCACCTTTGTAAGAATAGGTCTATTATTATTCTATGAGGAAAAAGTATTTCCTCGTTCTGCCTTATATTAAATGACCCTTGTTTCCTGAGTGCCTCTGATAAATGTTGTTAGGCTTGCTGTGAGCATTTCAGTCATCCTGGACCTACGAAGATGAGAAACACAGTGATCAAACTGGTAGAATTTGTCAGGTTTTTGGTTTTATTTTTAACACACGATGCAGATATTTCGAGATGTCTCATATGCTGTCTTTGTTCATGAAGCTGTGGTAGATCTACAGTTGGAAATGCTGATATTCCAAAATTATGGATATAAGTTTTTAAAGGCAATCACTGATAAATTTGATTGCCTGATGGACTCTGTGTTCTGCTTTCATTAGACTCTTGGAAAGAACCATCCGGTCAGCAGTAGAACAGCATCTTTTTGATGTTAACAGCTCTGGAGGCCAAAGTTCAGAGGATTCAGAATCGGGAACGTCATCAGCATCTCCGGCCCTGTCTGCCAGACAGCGCCGCCGCCAGTCCAAAGAGCAGGATGAAGTCCGACGTGGCAGAGACGTGTGAGTTGGCATTAGAGCTTTATTTGCATTTTCTCCTCTCCTTTTAAAAATACGCACCTGAATTAGTCACCGTGTTATAGCCATTCCCATTTCAGTATTCAGGTTAAAACTATACAATTTCCTTTCGACTGTTCTGCACTTCACGAACATTTGGAAACGTGTAAGGGACTAAACATTTCAGTCGGGTCTGGATGTTTTTGTGTTGTCTAGATGTGTGTTGTTGGAAGCCTCCTCTGATTTAATACATTTCAGGGCTTCCTCATGGTTATCTTCTTTAGAGGGATGCTGAACCACTGCAGGAAAAAATTCTCATATGCCTGTCCAGAGGTCGTTTTGTTTTTTTGTTTTTTTAAGATTTATTTATTTATTTGAGAGAGAAAGCGTGTGTGTGTGTGTGTTGCGGGTGGGAGTGGGGGGTAGAGGAAGAGAGAAGCCCAAGCCAACTTCTTGCTGAGCAGAGATTCTGACAGGAGCAGAAACCGAGAGTCAGGTGCCCAGCTGACTGCACTCTGGCCCCGGCCGCCACAGGGTGATTTTTTTCTTATTAGACAACATTCATTTGGTTGTTAAACTAACTTATGAAATCAACAGATTTCCCTACTGTATTGGCCTGATGCAATACTACAATATCACTGTAATACTCTAATAGTTGACTACACTTCAGTATCAGAATGATGGAACTTAAGCCTAATCAGAAGAGGAAATGCTCAAGTTCTTTATTATCATAATGACTAATTTTAAGCTTTCCCACAGCGTGAATTTCAAGAATAGTATCATAAGGAACTTTAGTCTCCATTAGAGGATTTGATAAAATACAAATAAACAATTACTCTTCTGTTTTTTTCAGTAGTCATCATTTAAATGTCAAGGAAAATAAAGTTACATTCATTTATTTTTCCTGAAAGTTTTAAGTTTATTTTTATCTACTATAGCATTTAGTCTCTATAAAGTTACTGTTTTGAAATCCTTATGAAATGTCAAAGAGTAAATCAGATCCTAGTCCCCCTCATTCCTTTTCACCTGGATTCATAATGCACATCAAAAATCTTAGGGGTGGGGGGGGAAGGAAACTTCTTTGTGCTTAAAGAAAGACGCCAAAGATAAGTGGTATAAACACACACTGTGTTGCATATCATGAAGTTGTTTAAGCGACATGCTAGCAAGTGTAATTTTAGAAATAAAGCAGTATCAGTGATATAGACCACTGACTTTTTAAGTGATATAAGCAGCACTTTAAAAAAAAAATTGCCTTGGGGCTCATGGATAGGAGGGAGTGCTATAATATTACCTTCAGAAAATAGAAAAATTATAATACAGGAGGTGTTTACATTCAAAATTAGCTCCTGACTAAGCTTTACAGAAAATGTCTAGGAGTATAATTAGCCTATGTACTGCCTATATTGTGCTACACAGCAAGTACAAATTATTTAATACTGTTCTTATCCTCTGTCTCATTTTTTGCCAAATAGTATGTGGCAACACGTTGCATTTTTAAAATATCCTTAGTGTGTCACGACATCATGCCTTCCACCCTCTTTGTTTAGACAGAGGGATAGCAAGCAGAGGTTGAAAGTGGTAGTAAGCACAAGAGAGAGAACAGAGCAGACGGTGGTACTGTTGATGGTGGGTGCATGGTGGCAGTAGGGAACAGCACAGTGGGGTAAGGTCCAAATGAACAGGCAGCAACAAAATATGGAACAGAGAGTAACCTTTCCTGCAGAATTCAGAGTTTCCCATGTCCAGGTATGTTTCTATTCTAAGCTCTCTTGATCACATTCTACTATCAATATCAGGAGAACAAAAGGAGACAACGGTAGAAAACAACTAATCTAACAACCTGTGAAACTCTAACCTTCCCCTTCTTTTTTCTTCTCTTTTCTTCTTTTTTTTCTTCTTGTTTTCTTCCCTTTCTTCTTTTCACTGCTCATGCTGGTCACTCACTATGGTCTGACTAGAGTTGGACACCGAGTGAGTAAATCTCGGGCTGCAAACTGTGTGTGGCCTTGGTAACTTACAGTCTCACTGTTACTTTTTCCTTGGTGCGTGGTCTGGACACTCAGAAGTTCCCTTCCTATGCTCCCTGTTGGCCTCAGCCTCCTAGGCATATGGTGTCTTCCTGACCTGACACGCTAGGTAATTAACACGCCTTGAAAGTCCTTTCTGTTCAACTCCCAGTCCACACTGAACTGCCTCTCTGAGCATACCAGGTCTGTGGGGGAGCAAGGCCCTTATCTCTGAGGGCTCCAGACCTTACTACTTTTGTCCCCGTGAAGGTCCTCTCCAGTATGTCCCCAGGAGATATAATGACATATCACTGATTGTGCAGAAGTTGAGAATCATTATCATAGCCTATAGTAAGTATGTTTTTCCTAATATATACCTACGTATAATTGATTCATTTATCAAAATTTTCATCAGGCTTTGCTTAAAAGGTTAAGCTAGGCTTTATTCTAGTCAAAACTGTTAACTGTATGGAATGGTTCAAAAGAGTTTTTAAAAATTAGAAATTTATTGTATTTTTGTCTATTATTGTGCCTCCTCTAACAACTTAAAGCTGCAACCAGGTAAAAAAATATATCCTTGAAGCCAATGATAACCATATTTCAGAGTAAGATTAAGGTCAATGAAGTCTGTACTAAAGTCATCAGAGCAGAGTTTTGAAATAAGTACAGAAGATAGACTAAGACTATAAATATTTCATTTTAGTGTAAATGATTGATCAGGCTTACTATTTGCTATCATAAAGATTGATATCAGAGTTTAAGCAATATATTCATTATGCAGAGGGGTTCAGTTTATTTATTAAAAAAGTTGCCATCTGCCAGGTGCATGGAAACGATGACTCTTGGTAATGGGTATATTGAAATTCATTGTGATAGTGTCCCCTCTATATGTGTGAAAATTTTATAGTAAGTATTTTTCTTAAAAGCAAAGGTAGTTAGGTGAAAATGGTTTCAGCTGTCCAAAATACAATAAACTGGAAATTTGTACATATTTGTTATATAAATACTATACTAAATTCCTACTGCAAAGTAAAAAAAAAAGAAAAAAGAAAAAGAAAAAAAAACAAAAACAAAAACAATGCTGTATTAGAGGAATGGTAAATAGTTGAGTATAGCCAGAACATTAAGTGTGTCTATAGGGGTGGGGAAGAAACTCTAGATAAAAGTGAGAGGCTCCAGAGATCTGAGTTCATGTCAAATTTCAGTGATGTCAAGGGGCGCCTGGGTGGCTCAGTGTGTTAAAGCCTCTACCTTCGGCTCAGGTCATGATCTCAGGGTCCTGAGATTGAGCCCCGCATCAGGCTCCCTGCTCAGCAGGAAGCCTGCTTCTCCCCCTTCCACTCCCCCTGCTTCTGTTCCTCTCTCACTATGTCTCTCTGTCGAATAAGTAAGTAAAATCTTTAAAAAAATATATTTTATCTATTTCTTTGTCAGAGAGTGAGTAAGCACAAGCAGGAAGAGTGGCAGGCAGAGGGAGAATCAGGCTCCCTACTGGGCAAGGATCCTGATGGGGGACTCGATCCCAGGACCCTGGGATTATGACCTGAGCTGAAGGCAGCCAACTGACTGAGCTACCGAGGTGGCCCTCCTCCTCTTCTTATTAGAACACCAGGTCTGTTGGATTAGAGCACCCACCTTATGGCCTCATTGAGCCTAATTACCTCTGGAAAAGCTCTGTCTCCAAAAACAATCACATTAACAGATGGTAAGGGCTTCCGCAGAGGAATTCGGGGGGAAACACAATACTGTCATAATTGCTTTCAAACATAAACCCTTCCCATGAAAAATATTTTAATGGGATGTATACCGCAGGGGTTAGGAGAAGTATGAAGAGTGATAGACAGAATTTACATAGTAGAACAATTAATTTTGAAATTGAGACCAAATTCATCCAGCCGTCCATAGAAAGGTGTCTTGAAGAGCATCTGCACGAGTACGTATTAGTCCCTATCTGCTCTTCCTTGTCCTTTTGTGATTTTATACTTGGGGTATTTCTAATATTTGTTGTATAAATCTTTTCTATAATTTCACTAAGTGTATATATACTTACATTTAAAGTGTATAAAATAAGACTAAATTAAATATGGAGTGCTAAAAATCACCAAAGATAGCATAACTTTGAAAATATTAGGATCATATTTATTTCATAGTTTTGCCTCCATGATAAGCCCATCTAAGACAGGATATGAATTTAGATGGCAGAATAAATATTTAAATTGTATTTCATTTTTGTATATGGTTGAACCAATGGTAAAATATAGTCATCTGCTTTGCTCTTTAGAGCTCATTTATTTCAAAATATAGCTATAAGTGTTTAGGGTGTTACCTTAACTCAGTCATACCATAAGGGAGAGACCTCATTCAGTTATACCCTGGCATGCCATTATGCTACCCTGATGGCTTAATTTGTCTTGTGACGTAGTAAAAAAAACAAACAGTTTACTAAGTAATTTAACTTTATGAAAACTCCTTCTTAAGGAAATGTTTAAAATACTCAGAAAAATTTCAAGAATATTAAGTGAATTAAATTCTGTAGTTATGACATTCACATCTGCTTCTAAAACTAAGTCATGAATGGGGCACTGGGTGACTTAGTTGGTTAAGCCACTGCCTTCGGCTCAGGTCATGATCCTAGGGTCCAGGGATCAAGATCCACTTCGACTCCCTCTGCCTGCTGCTCCTGCTTCTTGTGCTCTCTCTCTCCCCCACCCCCACCCTGCCAAATAAATAAATGAAAACTTAAAAAAAAAAAAAAACACTAAGTCATGAAGGACCTCCAGTTAGTTTACATCTTAAAATTCCTTGTACTGGGACATAACAAATCCATACTTCAGTTAAAATGCTTTATATTCTACAGTTTTTATTAACTTATACTGTTTCTATCAAGATTATCAAATGCAGTCAGAGTTTGTTATTAATGCTTTTCTACTGTGCTAAATTGTCTTTATCATTTGGGAAAACAGTTTGTCCCATTCAAGAAAAAAAATGTCCTATTTCCTTTTCAGATTTTTCTCTACACATTGTATTATAAAATGCGTGTGTAGCAGGGATCCTGGGTGGCTCAGTCAGTTAAGCATCCAACTCTTGATTTCCGCTCAGGTCATGATCTCAGGGTAATGAAATGGAGTCCTGTGTCAATCTCTCCACTCAGTAGGGAGTCTGCTTGAGATTCTCTCTCTCCCTCTGTCCCCTACCCCCATGCACATGCGAGTTCTCTCTCTCCCAAATAAATAAATAAATCTTTAAAGTGTGTGTGTGTGTGTGTGTGTTTGTGTGTGTGTAATCTGTTAATAATAGGAAATTTTTTTGTAAGATTGCACTGTTCTCCTTGTTTGAATATAAATTACTTTGGGTACAACCTCAAAAGTTGTTCATTGGTAGAAACAGAGTCCTTGCCAGTTTGCCTCTAGGAATAATTTCTCTTGTAATGTGATTTATTTGGCACCAAGTGGTCTCAGGAGTAGCTCAGTGCTCAGATTTTTATCAAAGAGGCAAACTGGAATTTCTGGGCACTCTCCTGATTTCCCATGTGATGCAGTGACAGTGTCATTAAAATGTCCCTTTTACCTTTTAAAATTAAGCATTTTTTTTAATTGAAGGGGACTTATCAACAAAGAAAATATTCCTTCTGGGTTCAACAGCCTTGAAGATTGTATTTTGAATGCTCAGGAAGTGGAAAAATTGTATGAAAATACTTCTGGTTATATTGGAGAACGGGGCAAACCTAAACGTCAGAAATCAAGTTCCAAACTTTCTGAACTCAGTGAAAACCAAGATGGTCTTGTGGTAAGTAAAAATTCTATGAAATTTTTACTTGTAACCAATTAGGAAATACCACATCTCTTTTTCTTGCTTTGTAAAAAAAATAATAATTTTAATCGTGAGTTTCATAGAACTATAGGATATGAGTTGTGAATACCTCAGAGCTACTAAGTATACACACTTGTATTTCTTTTTAACAAATACAAAAATCAAAGCTGAGAAAGATTATGTTCTGCCAAAAGAAAAAGAGACAGCACACCTTGATTTCCATGTTACTCAAAGGATTTTTATCTCATTCTTTTGAGTATTTTTAAATTGTATTTTTGGAATATTGTCATTAAAGCATTTTTTATTTTCTCCCATTCTGTTCATCCTTTTATATATGATTATGTAAAAAAAAATTAATGAACTTAAAGCCAGGTGAAAGAAAACTACACAGGGAAAAAGGATCAACTCCCTTTGTGTACAGAAATCTCTGTAGTCAGAAATTTAGTTCAGATCTATACTCTGCAAAGTATTTTCTTCCAAATTAATCAGAAACAAAAACAAAAGAGGTCAACCTCTTATAGAGTTACCTCAGACATGAACCCTGGATCATTGATTTTGATATATAAGTTATTACAAGTAGTTTCTGACAATAAATATTTATTCAGTTTAAATATTAGTATACATTATTGTTTTCTGTGTATTTTTCACTTTCTCTGAGAAGTGAGAACCAAAGCCTGTCTTCTTAGTTCCTTTAGTTTTAAAAAATGTAACAACAACAAAAACTAAAGATAAAATTTATAACATAACATGAGCTGGAATCCCCATAATAAAAATAGGTAATGCCCATTCTTACTGTTCAATGTGTAAATACTCTGATCTAGTTTATCTCTGACAAGCTTTTAGCTCCATGTTAGGTTTTCTATACATTTAGTAAACTTATAAGCCATCTGTTTTCCATTGTCAATTTCAGAATATGCTTGGAGAAGATTCCCAGTTTTGCCCTAATAAAATCTAAGTAAATGCAAATCCAGGGAAACATGTTAATTTCTTTTTTTCCCTCCAAATGTCCTTTATTTTTTAAAGATTATTTATTTATTTATTTATTTGAGAGAGAGCACAAGCAGGGAGAGTGGCAGGCAGAGGGAGAAGGAGAAATGGGCACCCCACAGAGTATGCAGCCTATCGCAGGGCTCGATCCCAGGGCCCTGGGATCATGACCTGAGCTGAAGTCAGACACTTAACCTACTGAGCCACCCAGATGCCCCTTTTCCTCCAAATATCTTGATAATCTGTTTCTAGAAGTAAAGTAACCAGCTAGCAGAGACAGAAGCAATCATGTACTGCAGGCCCATGTCTGATACACTCCAAATAAGGAATGTAAGGTTTGGAACCATTGCACGCATTAAATATTTTTAACATTAACATAATTCTTAGTGGGGGGGGGGAGTAAATTTTTAAATAAAATAAATGGTGCTAATTTCATTAGCAGTTTATTTGGCTCACAATTTGCTTATCTGCCAAAGTGATTACAACGACTAAAAATCCAACAGTTGACTTCTTTGGAAAGATGTGCTTCTCTATTTCAATCCCTTTTTACATGAACTTAATCCATTAATATTTTCTTCCCCACCAGGAATGGCATCTTAAATTAGATAGGTAGAAATAGCTAATAAAAGTGGAAAAGTACATTTATTCCTTAGAATATGTGTCCATAAAACTATGGACATAGTCTTTGTTTAAAAATGTTTGGGTGGGAGAGCCTACTACTATCCAGTCTTTTTACGTGAAAGGATTTGCCCCCACCTTAGTTGCCAGTTTCCTCATTCCAGGATTGTGAATGTCACCTATTAACGTTAAGTGAGCCAAGTGGACCATGTCTTTGTTGCAATGAATAATTGAAAAACCTGCCAGCACAACTCAGGAGAAAAATTTCCTCATCTAAAGTGAGGGTGTTCTCTAAGAGCTTTTCTAACTGTCATATTCCATAAATTTTTAAACCTAATCTTCACAGGTAACCACAAAGCAAAGAGCCAGGGAACATAACAAGTATTTAGACTACATCTTAAAAGTTAAGTTGGTGCATCTTAACTTGTCCTTTATGTTTAACGTCCTAATTTTACTTTTCCCAACTCTCCCCAACACCTTTTCTTACTCCATTTCAAGTTCTTTACACCCTGACTAAATATTTATTTCTGTAGTTGGGTCAGCTAGTGGGGGTGGGGGGTGGCGGGAATTATACGTAATTATATGCCTTTATGTGCCAAGAAATATTTCAGGTCCTGGAGATAAAGAATGAAAAAATAGGCAGAGGTAGCTCTCCTCATGGAGTTTACATCCTACTAGATATATTAACAGACAATAATCAAAAATAAGTAAATAGGGGCGCCTGGGTGGCTCAGTGGGTTAAAGCCTCTGCCTTCAGCTCAGGTCATGATCCCAGGGTCCTGGGATCGAGCCCCACATTGGGCTCTCTGCTCACCAGGGAGCCTGCTTCCTCCTCTCTCTCTGCCTGCTTCTCTGCCTACTTGTGATCTCTGTCTGTCAAATAAATAAATAATTAAAAAAAAAAAGAATAAGTAAGTAAAACACAAAATATATTAGATACTGATAACTGCTAGGAAGAAACATTAATCAGAAAATAGGAATAGGAATCATGAGGGGGCAGGAGGTGGAATTTGAAATAGAGTGGTCTGGGAAGACCTTCTAAGAATTTTACATTTGAGTGTAAAGATTTAGAGAAAGTAAGGAAGCAAGCTATACTATGATAGTAGGTTCAAAGGCCCTGAGACGGTCATTTTTCTGGAACATTCAAGAAACCACAAAGACCCCATTGTGATTAGAAGAGAGTAAGCAAAATTAAAGAGGTAATAGGAGAGGATGGGCAGATGAAGTAGTGCCTCATAGATCATTGTGAGAACTCTGCCTTCATTCTGGGTGAGATGAGAATTCATTTGAGGGTTCTAGGTGGAACAGTGATCTGGCTTACTGAAATTCATTTACCTACCATGTTGAGCATAGACAGTAAGCACGCAGGGGCAGAAACAGGGAACCCAGTTAAGCAGCTATTGCAATAATTTAGATTTGAGATGATGATGGTTTGAACTAAGGTGATACCAGAGTCAGCATCCATTTCCTTGCAGGCTGTACGATGCACTACTCTAGGGGGCACTGTTCACACTGACTAAACTCCTTCTGGAGGGGTACGTTGCAGTCATCATGACATAGTGAAGATTCTGCATGTGTTTTGAAAGGAGAATTGACAAGAGTTTCCTGACATTACCTGTGTGGTGTGAAAGTAATCAGGGAGTCAAAGTTAACTCCAGGATTTTTGGCCTGAGCAACTAGATTTGTGTTGCAAGTTTAACTGAGATAGAGAAGACAGAAGTTTGGGTTCAGTTTGGATATAAGATTAAGCTGCCCATTAGATATCCAAGAGGGCATATCAAGGAAGCAAGTGGATTTCTGGGCCAAGAGTTTAGGGAGGAAATCCTGGCTACAGATACAATGTGGGAGTCATCAGCAGATAGAGGATATTTAAAGTCAGTATACTGTGTGAGATGACCAAGGGAATGAGTGTAGACTGGAAAGAGAAGTTGACTCAGGGATTGTGAGCCCTGAGACACACCAACATTTGGAAGATGGGGAAATGAGAAGGTACCAGAGGAGGAGATTTACGAGACCCGCAAAGTAGAAGACAGAGAAGGTGAGTTTAGTGCCTTGGTAGCCAAGTGAACAGAGTGTCTCGGGGGCAAAAAGGTCAGATGATGGCTCAAGCAGAAGACTGAGAGTTTGACCATTGGGATTAGCAAACTGGAAGTCACTTAGTAAAAGCAGTTTGGATGAAGAGATGGGAGCAAAAGCCATTTTCCAGAGAAAGTGAGAGGAGAGTAACTGAACACAATGACTAATAATTTCACACTGATCACACCAGCCCACAATACAACACAGGAGAATATGCTGTAAACCAAAAAAAGCGTCTTACAGATTTGGCATCTCTAAAGTGGGAACCGTCTGGGTATGTTTCCCTTTGTACTTTCACCTCTCTAGACTGTCATGACCAGCAGAGACCAAGAGACTACAGATAATTCGGAGCTTAAAAATTGGGGGTAGTAAGTGACATTAGAGTGTTCTGCCTTATCTCTAATTATTGCCACAGTCCCAAACTTTTCTTCCCTTTTTAAACTCTTGGCTTATGCTTGTGCCCATCAGTCATTCTCAGAGGAAAACCTTATCTCCTGATTTATTTGGAAGAACTAAGATGTACAGCTTGTGTTTCAGGAACTTCCCTCACTCCTGCTTCAAAATGTCTCCAGAACTCTACTCATTTTTTTTCCTACCTGCTCAAATAGTAACATGGTTTTTCTGATTTCTAAAGTTAACCTCTAAAATGAAGGGGTATCTTTGTAAATTCTACCTTCTACATCCATCTCTCTACCCCACACCCATGCACGTGTGCAAACATATACATACACTCACTCACTTCTCCTTTTCATTGGCTTCCCCTTCATTGGCTCATTTCTGTTGGCCTAGAAAAAGGCTTCATCTCTAAAAGCTTTCTCTCCTGGGCACAATTTAATAGCTTAAATCAAAAGTCCTAAGTCAGTCATGCATCTTATCCAGTAATCGTACTTCTACCACTTGGTTCTACTTAAATATACAAAAGACCATGGTATTAATTTGCTCACCACAAGGCTTTCTATAATCATGGAAAATTAGAAGCAATTTAAATGTTCAAAAGTGCGAGATAAGTTAAGCAACATTTGTGTGTCAGTTCAATAAAATTAGGATTCTGAAGACTTTGTAATACATTAAAAACCATTGACAAGTTATATTTTAAGGATTTTATATTTATTATCAATTTTAATCCTCCCAATAATGCAGAAGGTGGATTTATTTTTATTATAACTCTCATTCTAAACATGAGGAGAATGAGGCAGAGGAGAGTAAAGAACTCCAAGGTCACACGTAAGTGGTGGAGGTGGGGTTCCCCTATATCATCCCTCAATATTAAAAGTAGATTATAAAGCAATATACAC